ATCAGCCGCGTTATATTTGTGTCCATTTTCTCCTATCTCCCACGAAGAGCCAGAAAACGGGTGGAGGCGGCCAAAAGTCTCGGCGCGTTTTTTGAGCTCTAGAGTCGTCAAAATGGGACTCGAACCGAACGTGTGACCCCACCAATGGATTGCTCTCCGAACGAGGAATCCATTGGTGGGGTCACACGTTCGGTTCGAGTCCCATTCAGCGAATCTGGAGCTCAAACTGCGTTAAAAGTTTTGACCGCCGCCTCCGGTCTTCTGACCCACTGTACCTCCTTTATTTCTCAAGTTTATACGTGAGTGTGGTTCCTGGCCCTAGATTTGTTTCCCCTCTTACTTTCGATTTTTTCTCTCCTCATCGAAGCTGTTTGAAAAGCGCACTCGGAAATGGGCTAAATGGAACTCAGACCGGGTGTGTGATTTATTCTTTGCTCGGAGAGCAATCCATTGGTGGGGTCTCACGATGTGGTTCGAGTCCCAATTAGCGACTCTAGAGCTCAAAACACGTCTAGGATTTTGGCCCACTATGCGTTTGCAGTTCGAACTTCGTACCACGCGTGTGAGCGACCACGTGGTTTGCACTCTCCGTTCACCCAAGAGGGGCATTGCCGAATGATGGAGTGAGAAGGGGGAAGGGAGCGGGGTGGCGCGTGGGTGGCACAGTGGGCCAGAGGACCGGTGGAGGCGGCCAAAACTCCAGACGCGTTTTGAGCTCCAGAGTCGCTGAACAGGACTCGAACCGAGCGTGTGACTCCACCAATGGATTCCTCGTTCGGAGAGCAAGCCATAGGTGGGGTCACAAGTTCGGTTCGGGTCCCACTTAGCGACTCTGGAGCTCAAAACGCGTCTGGAGTTTTGGCCGCCTCCACCGGTCTTCTGGCCCACTGTGGGTGGCGCCGTGCGGTCATGAGTGACGTGGTGGGGCGGCATCCTCGTCGTCCTCGTCACGGCGACGCCCCACCGTGCACGCTCACGACTTGTACACTCTAAAAGTCATGTAAAACCTACAACAGGGAATCCGGCGAGGGCGCGCAGTGGGCCAGAAGACCGGTGGAGGCGGTCGAAATTCTACTCGCGTTTTGAGCTCCAGAGTCGCTAATAGGGACTCGAACCGAACGTGTGACCCCACCAATGGATTGCTCTCCGGACGAGGAGACCTTTGGTGGGGTCACGCGCTTGCGTCGAGTCCTGTTTAGCGATTCTAGAGCTCAAAACGCGTCTAGAGTTTTGGCCGCCTCCACCCGTCTTCTGGACCACTGTGAAGCCGTGACAAATGTGTAGAGTAGAAGTCATGGAGCGGCGGTCACGGCTCATACCCTCTACCGGGTGATTTGCTTTCTTTGATGCATCCTGCAGCATGCCTTTTCTACAAAGTTTGATTGCGTTTGGGAGCAGCCCCGCAGTAAAGGCGGTCAAAACGTTGAAAATTACGTAGAAAAAAGATGTTTTGTTCGTACCTTTGGCGGATACTGCGTTGAATCCAAGCTGGGAAATGGGCGAGGAAATGGATTTTACTACGTAGGTGCGATTTCCCGCCTTGGTTTGGGGGCAGCCTTGCAGCAAAGTTGGTCGAAACGTTGAAAAATGAATAGAAGTGGTGGATTGGTCTGACTTCTGGTTGTTGGTCTCTGCGTTCAATCCCGGCCAAACTCCCTATGGGGCTGTGTTCTCTAGTACTTGCATGAGCATCCCTTCATCAGAACTTTTTGTCGACACCATCGAATATTTAAGATGTTTTTATAGTTGAATATTTTAGAACATTTCAAATATGTGTTAATATGAAGGACTCCTCTGAATATATCATTTGATTAGAATATTTAAGGAATACTTATTAATCTGAATCTGGATATTCTTACTTCCTGTAAGTTGCTTATCAGGCAGGCTGAGTCTGCTTTTCTATCGTGGCGACACACAGTAGGCCAGAAGACCGGTGGGGGCGGTACAGATCCCGGACGCGTTATTAGCTCCAGAGTCGCTCAATGGGACTCTGCAAACCGTCTAACTTGGCTACCTGCCTCACTGTTCCCTGTCCAAGGAACACTCGCAAGTTTTGACCGTTCAGGACTGGAAATGCGCTGTGATCATTCAAACTTGTCGCAAATGCACATTTGTCGGCAGATGATTTGGACGAATTGCTGGGATGGGTCAGCGCCACGGCCGCGTGGCTAGCACACGGGTGGGCAAGCGCTCACGGGACCGCCGGGGGTGGGGCGAAATTGGCCAGTGTACGTCACTTGACTCAATGCCCCACGTCCGCCCCACCGCACCTCCAAGACCACTCTCAGCTGCAGTGTCTTGGAAAGCCGTTTGTAGGGACTTGCCTGATCGCAATTGAAGGTAGATGCAGTAGACGTAGGTGTATTCAAGCTTGTCAAAGCGTTCGAAATTTGGCTTCTGCGCGGTTGAATTCTTCGGACAACATCGTTTGAACCGTTTGGGATGGAATGCGGCGGGCGCCCTTTTCGCCGCGTTTTTGGGGCATCAGGGAACCGGAGACATTGAGGCATGGGGCTGGGCCGGGGCCCGGGCCGCGGGGGGGGGGTGGGGGGACGAAACTAGGCCAGTAGTGACGTCACTGTGACGTCAATGGACCCCCACCGTGCCCCGCCGCCACCGCCACCCCCAGACCCATTCTCCAGGCTCCGCTCCGCTCCAAGCGCTGGAGTCGATCCTGGAAGCCGTTTCGGACGGCCACAATTTTTTTTTCGGTGAATATGCAAGGGAGCTGCAGAGCATCGCCACACAAATTCAACATCCCTTTGATCAATGTTCACGAAAATGGTTAACGATTTACACGACTGGTCGTCGTGTTCATCGAAAAGGTACGCAAAATTTGAACATACAAATACATGCCTTAATTTTCCGGAGTCGACCCTTTTCGCTGATTCATCGTGTACGACATGGTATACATGCGTATGTACGCATGAATTTCGAGTCGTACTTATGCATCGACATTTTATTCGTAGTACGTATGTCTCATCCCTCAACGTAGTCGATGGCTACATTCTCATATTAGATCTGCAGGGTGCAGACTAGCATTAAAAAAGAATTAAATGCATTTATTAATCACCGAATTTAAAGGAATGAACCTTGTTGGGGCCTTTAATTTTGTTCTACTTTTCTTCTTTTCTATTTGTACTGAGCGTTCCTTGATCAATATTTACAATGTTGTGCATTGCATTCGCGTGAAATTGAAGTTGTGACGTTTCAAACGCACAAATTTGTGCTCTTGCATGTGTTTTCTCGGTTAGTTCGAACTAATATTTTTTTTCTTGTCCTATTTCCTTCTCCAGTTTTGATGTTTTAAAATGACTGCGCACGGGGATAAAATTTCCAACTTCCAACCGCAGCACACAATGCGCTGGCCTTGTGGCCAGCCAGCAGCCGGCCCGAATGCTGCACAGGGCGAGGGTACGCTCAGGGGGCCAGAAGACCGGTGGAGGTGGTCGAAATCCCAAACGCATTTTGAGCTCCACAGGGTCGCTAAATGGGACTCGAACCGAACGTGTGACCCCACCAACGAATTGCTTTCCGAACGAGGAATCCATTGGTGGGGTCGTTCGGCTCGTTCCCTGTTAAGCGACTCTGGATAGCTCAGCGGTTCTCAACCATTTTCGGCTCGCGACCCCAAATTTGTCGCCAAATATTTCCCCGACCCCCAGGAAAAATTTCGCAACCCCACCACGGGACCCTCCCTTTAGCATGCCTTTGTTACGGAGTGCGATTATTGACCTCAGTTTGGGAGCAGTATTGGCTCAATATTGATCAAAACGGTCAAAAATGCCTTTGAAAAATCGTGTTTAAGCAGCCACTGCGTCTGATCCGAGGCGGGCCTTCGTACTTTCTCAACGGGCATTTGGTCTTGGGACCTTCCTTTAGCATGCCTTTGTTACGGAGTGCGATTATCCGCCATAGTTTGGGAGCAGTATTGTCTCAAAGTTGATCAAAGCCTTTAAAGTCGGCCCAAAACGCGAATTTTAAATGGCATTTTTTACCGTTTTGATCAACTTTGACCCAATACTGTTCCTAAACTAACGCGGATAATCGCACTCCGCAACAACGGCACGCTAAAGGAAGGTCCAAAGACCAAATGCCGTTGAGAAAGTACGAAGGCCCGCCTCGGATCAGACGCAGTGGCAACTTAAAGTCGGCCCAAAACAAGACTTTTTTTAAGCAGTTTCCGCGAATTTATGTTCCCGGCAGTGCTCGGCCTGGAGGCCAGCTGGGAAACCGCCGCGACCCCAGGCGACCCCAGCCACCTCGCCGCGACCCCCCAAAAATTTTTCGCGACCCCAAGGTTGAGAACCACTGAGATAGCTCAAATCGCAGTTTGAGTTTTGGTCGCCTCCGCCGGTCTACTGGCCCACTGTTCTAGGCGAGGCTAGGCGAGACAAGGGGAGACGGCTCGCAGGGCACGTAGCCACGCGGTGGTTGGTGCCACTGACCTTCCCCAACATCGATCCGCCACTGGCACGCCTCACGTCCCGGGCGCGGGGTAGCCACCGCCTGGGCCCCGGGTTGCCCCAGGCCCTGGGGTATCGCCGCGGTGACGTCATGGAGAGACTCCGCGTCCTCTTCCCTCCCCCCTCTCCTTTTCTCTCCCCATTGAAGCCTGTGCTGGGTCACGCACAGTGGGCCGGAAGACCGGTGGAGGCGGCCAAAATTCCAAACGCGTTTTGAGCTCCAGAGTTCCTAAACAGGACTCGAACCGTGCGTGTGACCCCACCAATGGATTCCTCGTTCGGAGAGCATTCCATCGGAGGGGTCACACATTCGGTTCGAGTCCTGTTTAGCGACTCTGGAGCTAAAAACTCATATAGAATTTTGGCCGCCTCCACCGGTCTCCTAGTCCACTGTGTCACGGCGGATTATCGGAACCCACTCCCAGAACCCACTTCTCGAAAGCATGGCGCGAATATTGACAAGTAGACATTTAATGGGTGTAGAATTGCGCCATGCGACACAACTGTGCTTTTCGACAAAAAGGTAAACGTGGGTCGGGTTCGTTCTCACGCTGGAAACTAGATTCTTTATTTGCTCTCAGAGGTTATCTGTTCAAGTCAAGAGGGAACCTGCGGTTCGTCCGAAAGCTTCTAGAATGCTTGACAATGAGAGAGACTCTCCGGGGGTTGGTTTTGGGCGATGTCAGGTCAGACCTTGGGTCTGGCAGATGCATATGGAATGGGGTGCGATTATCAGTCGGGGAATTGTTTCACAAGGAAGGAGGAAATTTTTCGGTGAATTGTTGGTCGCGTGTCCTGGTGAAGTCCTGGTGAAGTCGTTAGGCTGCCGCTTCTGTCGACAAAACAAGACTGGTTGAGCGTGTTGTCCCCTTGGCCAAGCCTGCCTCACAGTCAGTGGGCCAGAATATCGGAGACAGCCGAAATCCCGGACGCGTTTTGAGCTCAGGCGCTGGATAGGACTCGAACCGAACGTGTGACCCCACCAATGGATTCCTTCGTTCGAAGAGCAATCCATTGGTGGGGTCACACGTTCGGTTCGAGTCCCGCATAGCGTCTCTGCTGGAGCTCAAACCGCGTCTATAGTTTTGACCGCCCCACCGGTGTTCTGGCCTACTGTGCGTCGCTGTGCGCTGTACCCACCTGCGGGCGCGGCGGGGGCTGCGGCGTCTGCCGGTGCGGGCGGCTCGGCGGCGGCGGGCGGCGTGTGGGCGGCGAGGACGGCGGCGTGGGCGGCCTGCACAGACACGCGGTCACCTCGGTTTCCAGCGGCAACTTGACACAGTCTCAAGGAAGAGGGACACTCACCTTGAGCGCGTCCATGAGCTGCTGCTGCCCCGTCAGCTCGATGGTCTCCTTGAGGCGGTGCATGGCCTCGCCGATGCGCTCCGTGGCGGCCCTGGCGCGCAGCGCGCACGACTTGACCTCCTCCTTGATCTCCTCGTCCTCGACGTGCTCCAGCAGCACCAGCGCCGGGTCGGGCTCTGGTTCTGGTTCCGGCTCGGGTTCGGGCTCCGGTTCCGGTGCGACTTCCGGTTCCGGCTCGGCGGGTGGAGCTTCAGCCGGCGCGGCCTCTGCCGGGGCTTCGGCTCCTTCTGCCGGGGGTGCCGCCTCGGCTCCCTCGGCCCCTTCGGTCGGAGGCGCCGCGCCCTCTTCCGGTGCGGGGGCTTCCGGTACAGGTTCCGGTTCCGGTACGATCTTGTGCACCATGCCCTCGATCTGGGCCAGCAGGGCCTCCAGCTTGAGCGCGGCGGCCTCGGCTTTCTCGGCGCCTTCCTTGGCCTCCTTCTCCTCGGCGCTCAGCTCCGGGCCCGGTTCCGGTTCCGGCTCGGGAGGTGGCGGCGGCTCTTCGACGACGGGTTCCGGTTCGGGCTCGGGCACCGGCTCCGGCTCGGGCTCCGGTTCGGGTTCTACGACCGGCTCTGGCTCGGGTTCCGGCTCTGGTTCCGGTTCCGGTGGCGGCGGGGGCAGCGCAGGCTTGAGCAGCTCGACGACGTGCAGGGCCTCCTCGACGGCGAGCATGGCCTTGTCCGCGACGATCTCCACGGCCACGGCCACCTTGGTCTTGGGCGGCTCCACCTCCTCCTCCTCCTCGTCACTCTCCTCCCCGTCCTAGAGGGACCGAGCGCATCTGTACCCCTCCTGAGCACAGTGGGCCAGAAGACCGGCGCCGGCGGCCAAAACTCTAGACGCGTTGGGAGCTCCAGGGTCGCTAAACGGGACTAGAACCGAGCGTGTGACGCCACCGATGGGTTCCTCGTTCGGAGAGCAATCCATTGGTGGGGTCACACGTTCGGTTCGAGTCCCATTCTGCGACTCGGGAGCTCAAAACGCGTCCGGGATTTTGGCCGCCTCCACCGGTCTTCTGGCCCACTGTGCTGAGCCGCGAAACCTTATTCCAGTGTCGTTCCAAGGTTGTGATAGTGGCGTGACTCGGTTCCGTGTCCCCGTGGTTTCCCAGTGGACGTGCTTACCGTTGTTCCCGGACGAGGCGTTCCACGCGGTTCCACCCCCCACTCCCCCCACTCCACACCTGCCATGCCGGGCCATGCCAGGCCACTCCAGGCGCATGCCGCAGGCTCATCGCATGAGCATGCACAAGTCTTTTTTTTGTTCAAGGGGAAATAACTCCAGCCAAATTTGTACACCGAAATTCATCAAATATGTAGGGTCAGTTGGGGTAATTATGGGACACGGGGTAAAAATGGGACAGCTGATTCTTAGTCAAGAATCGAAATTTTAGAACTTGTGCCGTAGCAAATGTTATTTTCTCTATAAAAACATAAGATTTGGTTTGTCATGCGTTCAAAAATGTCAAATCTTGACTAAGAATCAGCTGTCCCATTTTTACCCCGTGTCCCATAATTACCCCAACTGACCCTAAAACTCACTGAAACTCATAAAAATTTGACCGATATTCATCGAATTTTGACTAAAATTCATCGAATATTGACTGACATTCACCGAAATTCGACTGAAATTCATTAGATTTGTCCATCGAAATTCACAGTGATTTCCCCTTGCTCCTTTTTGCCGATTTGGAACTTCTCTTTTCATTTCGTTTGTGTGCACCATTGCCGTTGTTTGCATTTCTATTCGGAGTGCATCTGTTTGATTCAAAGCTGCCAAGCAATTGGTTTGGTGGGGATGCCATATAAGGGAAAAGAGAAGCAGTTTGTGAAAAACGATTTTTATTAAGACCCACGTGTGAAGCATACACACTCAACCATGCGGCTCCAACCTGGCGTGTTCATCATTGGCCCTTTTTTTTTGTTTTTTTCTACACACATTGGATGGTCCCATAATTTTCCTCGTCGTGACTTTTTTACTTTGGCACAGCCCACTCTGGTTTCCCGCCAGGTAAAAATTAACGACTAACTTTCGTCGGGAGATCAAATTATCTGGCGTTCTCGAGAAGTCCGGCAACCCGGCGGTGTTGCTGTTTTAGTCTTTGAAATGCAAGATGATTCATTTTCCGCCCGTTTCCTTTTACGTTTCTATTAAGACATAAGAGATTCCTTTTGAGATGTCATTTATTTTTTTTTGTTATAAAAGAACCCCTTCCAGACGCAATGAGAGAGAGGGGTGGGACCGAACGACTACTTTCTGTAACACTCTCATACTTTTCAGGCATGGAGCACCTAGCGACGTACATGGCGCTCTTCAGTTCGGCCACGCGGTGCCCGCCCCGGCGTCCGCGGCGTCCTCGTCGTCGTCGTCCTCGCCGCTACGCGACTGCCAACAGAAAGAGAGGGGTGAGTCGCCAAGCGTGCTGTGTGTGCGTGTAGATGTGTGTGTGTGCGTGCGGATGTGAGGTGGGCCAAGGTGTAACGGGCCGGTGGCCTCTCTCTCTCTCTCTCTCTCTCTCTCTCTCTCTCTCTCTCTCTCTCTCTCTCTCTCTCTCTCTCTCTCTCTCTCGGGGCAGAGGTCGTGTGGTTGGCGGGGTGGTCGGAGAGCGTCCGTCGAGGTTCGGGCCGGTGCGGGCGGAGCTCGGGCAGAGGTCGTCGGGGTTGGCGGGGTGGTCGGAGAGCGTCCGGTCGAGGTTCGGGCCGGTGCGGGCGGTGCTCGGGCAGAGGTCGTGGGGTTGGCGGGGTGGTCGGAGAGCGTCCGTCGAGGTTCGGGCCGAGCTCGGGCAGAGGTCGTGGGGTTGGCGGGGTGGTCGGAGAGCGTCCGGGACATGAGGTGCGGGAGGGTCAGTCCATCCACAGCAATGCGCGGCAATGCGTACCTTCCACGGGGGCGGCGGATGGTTCGGGCGTGGCCGCTGGTGTCACGGCCGCGGCCCCGCCTCGGCGGCGTGCGCGGCCAGGCTGGCGGTGGCCTCGAGGGCGGCCTTGTGCGCGGCCTTGAGCACGTCGAGCAGGGCCTTCTGCCCGGTCTCGGCCAGGGTCTCCTTGAGCTTGTGCATGGTGTCCTCTATCCTCTCCTTGGCGGCCTTGGCGCGCAGCGCGATGCTCTTGACCTCCTCCTTGAGCGCGGGGTCTTCGTCGAGGTGCTCGAGCAGCTCGAGGGCGGGGTCGGGCTCTGGTTCCGGTTCCGGCTCTGGCTCCGGTTCCGGTTCCGGCTCGACGGGCTCTGGCTCGGGCGTGGGCACGGGTTCCGGTTCTGGCGTGGGCGGCGCGCCCTCTGCTGGTGGCGCTTCGGCGCCGGCCTCGGGCTCCACGACCTCCACGACGGCGGGCGGCTCCGGCGTGGGCGCGGGCGTGGGCACGATGACCTGCACCATGCCCTCGATCTCCGCCAGCAGCTGCTCAAGCTGCGCCGCCATGGCCTCGGCCTTGTCCGCGGCCACCTTGGCGCGCCGCTCCTCTTCGTCCATTTCCGGTTCCGGTTCCGGTGTCGGCTCAGGCGGCAGCTCGGGCTCCGGTGTCGGCGGCACCGGCTCCGGCTCGGGTTCCGGCTCGGGCGTGGGCGGTGGAGGCTCTTCGGGCTCGGGCTCTGGCGGCGGCGGCTCCTCAGGCTCGGGCGTGGGCGTGGGCGTCCGGGGGTGCAGCATCTCCTGCACGACGCGCAGCAGCTCCAGGGCGTGCTCGGCCTCCTCCACGGCGTGCTCCGCCTTGCCGGCCACGATCTTGACGGCCTCCGTCACCTTCACCTCGGGCGGCTCCTCCGGCTCCTCCTCTTCCTCCTCGTCGGAATCCTGCGCCAGGTCCGCCAGGTTTGCATTGGGGGCGCGGTGCGGCGCAGCCTAGCGCCCGGAAGAGCCTTCCGGGTGCCACTGCCACCAGCAAGTTGGAAACGTGTGTGTGTGAGTGTGTACGCGTGTGTTGGGTTGGTTCCGGGTTCGAATACCGGCAGCGGCTAAATTTTTTTTAGTCTGACTAATTCTACGAAAGTCTGAGGGTAGTTATAATTACGTATTTTTGACAAGGATGAACGGTTTATGACGGACGGTGCGAGGACTTACTTGTTGCGCCGATTTTTCCACCTCTCCCTGCGAGCCGGAAAAACGAACGTATGCAACATCGGCAAGGGATTCACACCCCGTCTATCCAGTTAGTATACTTTCGTTTTCCAGGCGCAGTCGTCAGCTTTGTCGACATGCAACCAAACCAGCAGACATTCCTTTTGCATGCCATGTAGCAGTGGGACGTCGTGTCCAAGACTAGGATAAAAAACCTACCTTTACAGTGTCCTTATCGACGAGCTCGCGACAGTTCGAAATTGGCTTCAACCAATCAAATGAAATGAGACTAAAATGACAAAATGCAGTGATTTATTTTGCTCTATTTCCAATGAAGTAATGAGTGGCCCACACATTGCTTCACCGCGCTAAGTTCGCAGTCTTATGTCGTTTAAAAGCAAAACTGATTTCCTTTTGTTTGAATCCTTCCGAGTGACCGCCGGCGTGGCGTGCGTTCGGTCGAGTTTCATATCGAAGTGAGAGGCCTTTTCCCCCGGGTGGCGTGTCGACATCGTTCGCTGGTTCGGTAACAGTGCCGCAGCTCAAGCTGTACACAGCAGAAAGCAAAGTGAGAAAGTGAGACGGAAACTGGTAGCTGGACGCCGCACAATGGGCCAGAAAACCGGTGGAGGCGACCAAAATTCTAGACGCGTTTTGAGCTCCACAGTCACTAAATAGGACTCGAACCGAACGTGTGAGCCCACCAATGGATTCTTCGTTCGGAGAGCAATCCATTGGTGGGGTCACACGTTCGGTTCAAGTCCTGCTTAGCGACTCTGGAGCTCAAAACGCGTCTAGAATTTTGGTCGCCTCCGCCGGTCTTCTGGCCCACTGTGCGCCCGACGCGGCTACAAACCTTCGGCGGGGGCCTCTGCTGGCGGCGCGGCCTCCCCCTCGGGGGCGGCCTCGGCCGGCGGGGCCTCGGCGGCGGGCTCGCCGCCCTCGGCACCCTCGGCGGCGGGTTTGGGCAGCACGGGCTCGGCCTTGGCCATGGCCTGCTGGATCCTGGCCATGGCCAACTCGATGCGCTCCTTGGCCTCCTTGGCGCGGTGCGCCGCGGCCTTGATGGTGTCGCTGACGTCCACCTCGTCCACGTGGTCCAGCGCCGCTTCCGGGGGCTCTTCCGGCTTGGGCGGCTCGACTTCCGGCTCAGGCTCGGGCTCAGGCTCGGGCTCTGGTTCTGGCTCGACTTCCGGTTCCGGCTCGGGCTCTGGTTCCGGCTCCGGTTCCGGCTCGGGCTGCGGCATGAGGGGCTGCACCAGCGTGGTGATTTGGTCCAGCAGGGCCTCGAGCTTGAGCGCGGCCTCCTCCGCCTTGACCGCGGCCTGCTCGGCCTTCTGCTCGGTGGTGAGCTTGGGCTCTGGCGGTGGCTTGGCGGCCGGCTCGGGGGTGGGCGCTGGCGACGCGGGGACGCCGTCGGCGGGCGCCTCGGCAGCGGGGGCCGCCTCCGCTGGGGCTCCCTCAGCAGGTGCAGCCTCGGCAGGCGCACCTTCAGCCGGCGGGGCGTCTGCCGGGGCTTCTGTCGGGGCTGCCTCCGCTGGGGGCGCTTCGGCGGGTGCGGCCTCCGCCGGGGGTGCCTCCGCTGGGGGTGCCTCCGCAGGCGCCTCGGCGGGCGCTTCGGCTGGCGGTGCCTCTGCAGGGGGTGCCTCCGCTGGCGCTGCTTCTGCAGCGGGCGCCTCAGCAGGCGGTGCTTCAGCAGGAGGTGCTTCGGCAGGAGGTGCTTCTGCGGGTGCTTCGGCCGGTGCACCCTCAGCAGGTGCCCCCTCAGCAGGCGCGCCCTCAGCGGGCGCACCCTCAGCGGCAGGTGCGGCCTCTGGCGCCTCCTCCGTCCCCCCGCCCAGGGGGCCCTTGAGGAGCTTCTCCAGGACCAGCATGGCCTCGGTGAGGGCCGTGTCTGCTTTGGACGCGACGACGACCAGCGCGTCGGCCACCTTGGACTCGGGCGTCTCTACCGGCTCCGGCTCGGGCTCCGGTTCTGGCTCCTCCTCCTCCTCTTCCTCCTCTTCATCGTCCTGCAAAGGCAACGCGGCCCTTAGACAAGTGGCTGCTAGGGCCGTGGCCTCCTGGTTGTGGTTAGTGCTTGTGCGTGTGCTGTGTGCGTACTCACCGGCCTGGCTGCTCGGCCTGGCTGCCCGGCATGCCTGCCTGCATGGCTGGCCGCCTGGCGCCGCCGCTCGCGACCAAGTTCACAAGCCCAAGCAGGGCGGGTCCTCCAGGGCCTTCGGGCAAGCCTTGAGGCGAGCCTTGGGGGCCTGCAAGGGGAATGCATGCTTGACCTTCACGCCAGGCGGGGCCCTGATTCTTTTAGTCGCCCTAACACGCTCTGCGTGGACAGCTTTGGTCTCCAACTGAAATAATTTCCCCAGTACTGCTCTTTCTTTTTGATAACGCTGAGATCGGTTAATTGGTTAGTAACTTTACTCCAGGTTAGTTTAGTCGATCGTTCAACGATGATGCTTTAGTGGGTCTAACCGCTTCTTAAGTCATCCCAATCTACACACCCGCACCCTCTCTTCTCTTCCACGTTAACCTGACCTGCCCTGGCGCCACTCTTTTTGTCAGTGGTAAGTTTGCCAACTTGCCAAGAATCCACCCGGCCTGCCTTGCGCCGTCGCCCCCCTTTTCAATTGATGGACGGAAAGCCACAGGGGCGGAAACACGAACGAGTCTTACCTTTCGCTGTCATCCGTGGCAAATCGAGTCATTCAATTCAATCGTGTTTTGCATTGCAGTCCCTCAGCTGTTTTGAGTGCTTTTCCCCGAGTAACTTACCATTCTGACAATCCAGCTCTCTTCTTCGTTGATTCATCCTCCGGGATCGAATTCCTTCTTGCGCACAGCGGGCCTGTACTGTTATGAAAAAATGAGACAGGACGTCTTTGTCCAAAACAGTTACACGGCTACCAGGTCATAGTGGACCCGCGGAGCAGTGTATGGCAATTGTTTCTGTTATGTACCGCGCACTAGGTAAATTACTGCCACAATATAGAGTATCTCGAAACAAAGGACATACTTTAGAACCGGGACATGTAAAACGTCTGAGACGCAGCAACTGAGATGTTGCATAGCGTATCTGCTACGATATCAAATCAGAATTTCTAATAATACTCTGATGCAAGTGACTTAAATGCCTGAACTTATATATCTCTCGTTTCGTGATTTTCAATAGAGTATCTCTAAGAAAGCCTGCCGTGAAAAATATGGTATCAGACTTTGGGTCAGAGCCATGTTAAAAGTATGTCGACCAAAACGTGAAAACGTTTCAAAATTTTAATATTTTTAAAGGACAACTTCATTCGAAACAATAATCATTGGTGCTGTTTTCTTTCTCTTTAGTTACTTCAATTCCAAAATATCCCACAATGCGTTTAATATTTAACGGTTTGTGTAGCGTCATTTAAGAAGTGCAACATATAGAAGTACATTTAAATGCGTTTCATATTGTCAAAATGTTGCCTAGACTTGCCTGTATTTTTCTTGAGATGATCTCAACGAGGGCAGTCTTGGTAAATGCACATGCTTTGGTAACATTCAAATTTGTGGGAGGTCAAAAGGGCGTAGGGGGAAAAAGGGATAGGGAAGAGTAACAAAACGACACTAGGACATTCCCAGACACAAATGCTTTTATTTGCCACCCAATCAGTCTTCTTGACTCAGAATACAATACGATGCACATGAGACGAACGCATGCCAAGGGGAAGTTTACACATGCTGTGTCCATTCCTGTCGTGCTAGGTTAACATGTATTCAAGCTATGCTTACGATGTCGATGCTCCCGCGGCTTGTGGCTGGGAAAAGCTCGTTTGGAGCAAGGAATAAAATATGTTGTTCATTTTATTGTATTGAATGCTTTGCGAAGTAAAGCGTCATACATTTCACGATTTTTTTTGGTGATGTTAAATTCTATCCGCGAAGGGTATGTTAAGTATTTTGCCTTATGATACGAATTACCTAACATTATGAAAAAGTATGTGAGTTGTGTGAAGGGGCGCGGCTGTTTGAGAAGTCTGCTCATGCTTCGACTTCCTGCTCCTCCTTTACCTTCTTTTCGTCTCCCTTCTTCGACCAGTCGGGCTTTTTCTGTAAACAAAAATAAAAGCAGAAAATAGTTAGACTCGTACATTCAGGTTTTCCTACTAAACTATTTCTTGTCGCGATCACTTATGTGTATGGGAGTTTTCAGGAAGGCCTCGTTCAAAACATGCTTGTTAGATTAATTGGTATGACAGAAAGGGCGGGTCAAGGGAAAGCACCAGCAAGTCAGATCCAACTGTCTTGTGGTTGGAATCAGGCTTGCGTTTTAAAAGCATTCTTTTCTAACATTTATAGAACCTCTGTGAAAGTCTCTTTACTCTAAGGAAATACTCATTCTTTCAAAGGCTTCACGCTTCTAAAGTGCATGCTATCGTTTTCAAAGCAATAGCCAAAACACTATTAGGTGGTTCCATGCTCTAGCTTGGAACAATCTAACACGCTGTTTTGGTTAAAAACGCTAAGCTTCTAATCTGACTTTAAACTAAAATTTTAAGCTGAAGCCTAAAACTGAAAATGTTTCTAGCTTCAAGAGTACACTTCTCACCTTAGGTAATTTGTTTTACCTCCAGTACACCAGCTTCTGCTCTTTTGTAAGGCTTTATAATTTTTTGAAACTATAAATTATTAGATTACTTGAGATTATTACTTATTATTACTTGAAACTATTAGGAACTTACAAAAACTACTAAAACAATGTCAAAAACAAAAAGCATTTTCTTCTTTTATTAGTATCACGATAGTGGCTTTAGAACCAGAAAAATATCAAGATAAAAGATTAGTTGGGTAATAGTGGCTACGGTACGGAACACGCATAATTGCAAGCATAGGTTCTGTACAACTGCAAAAATACGTGACCGTTTGTATAGAAGTACGTTCCACAAAACACAAAAATGTGCGTTAAAAACATTGGTAGACACACACACAACACAGGCCTGCTCAAAGAAAAAAATGGTAAAAAAGACAGGTTTCAAAATATTTGATGTCTGTAGTTTTATGTGTGTAAAAAACGTAAAAAAATGGTTTTATATCCTCATTTAAAAAATGATATAAAAAACCTAGCCCGTTTGACATTGGGAATCATACTTATAAAGTTATGTATCAAAATTGTAAATTGGTCTTTTTATTGACATAAGAGGGTGTGAAACAAAAATTTGTTGAATTTGGGATTTGGGACTTGCTCATGTAACATGAAGCTAACAGAATGATTTATATCCATTGTGAAAATAGTATAAGAAAGAAAATAAAGCCTTTTTGATGTTTGATGAGGTGTTCACTTCTTCTGCCACTCGGCTTTCTCTGACTTCTTGGGCTGTAGGACAAAGTTTCACAGTATGTTAATTACATATTCTCCCTAGCCGTCTTTCCTACCCAATGCTTTGACTTGTTATGAGGTACCGGATGGATCTGGCCGTTTGATAATGTCCTGTTTGTCCCTGTGTGTGCAACTGTTTGTCTTTGCTTTTACCATCAAACCTTTGCTGTGTGCATTACCTCCTTGTCTTCTTCCTCCAGTGTGAATTCCTTCTTCTTGACCACCTTGAGTTGGTTACGGAAGTTGAATTCGGCAGCCTTTTTCTGGAGCTTGGCGAACTTGTTCTCGTACTTGGATACCTTTTTCAAGGTAGGTTTGACGCTGCACAGTTGGAACAGCAGTTGTAGCAAAATGGCCTTGCCTTAGAAACACTTTAAAACCAGAATACTTACAATTTACCGCGGAGGTCGTTCACCTGGCTGTTAAGGTCGGAGATCTGTCAAAGTCATAAAATTATATTAGACAACTGAAAAAGAACGGCCTGAAATAAGTTAAGCGCCCGTTTTATTAAATGAAAGTATTTTTTTAAAATTATGAAGTAAGCGACATACGCTTCAAGTAGTTTTAGATTCTACTATGTACAGTATCACAAATTTATTGCTCTTTGGCTTTTCAAGTACATTTTTTATACTTATCATGTTCGCCAACAGCGGCAAATACTTATTCTACTCCTCAATAAGCAAGCAAAAGGTAACCTAAAGTACAACTTAATGAAGCAATTTTAGAAAACAGACTGTTTACACACTCGCATGCACTCATGCAAAGGCTTGATTTAAACGGAGCGAAGAGGGAAGGAAGACAAAGCAAAAGGAGAAAGTTTCATAATACTGCAAGGTTTTTAAGAACTTAGGTCTGCTACTTAAAAAATCAACTAATTATCCTTTCAATTTTCAAGCATTTCATGCTAAATGCTTTTATGCTTCCATTAATATTGTGGGCGTACTTTCTGTAGTCACAACATGGAAACATAGATTTGGAAATTGTAAAGTGATAGAGACAGTGAAGTGGCAAGAAAAAGAAAATTTGAGACAAAAGAAGGACAGTAAGACTGCCAAGACTTAATTGACGTATCAATATTTTTATGAAGTGGAAACTGATAAACCGCTTCGACGAGAACTCAAAGACAAAGTTCTGTTTAAGACTTCGCATCGCCCTCAATTTTCAGACTTTTTCACTGCCAGTCCTTTTCCTTTTAAAAAGTCACCGTCTCGATTTGTCCATTGGCGTTGCTTGTCCCACATAAGCACGCTAAGACTACTTCATCTTTCGTATAAGAGTTCCTACACAGCCTGACAGGGTAATTTAGCGGGGAGGTTCGGCTGGTCCCGAGCAGCCCTCTGTCGTGGTGGTGCAACGCTGGACCCGCCGACCAGATGCCGTTTTCTGATACATGTTCTTGAAACAGTAAATTTGTTGCCAGACTTTTCATGGATATCAAAATCCTTGCCGATTTTTAAGCCGGAAAAGTAAAAAGTCTGGCGGTTCGATCCGTACCGCCATTTCTGGAAACGATATAGGAGGTCGTGAAGCACATAAACGAAGGAAGAGCTTTCTGGTGCTCTTAGACCCATCTCAGTCTAAAGAGATTGGGCATCAACCCCGCTTCACCAGAAGTGGGTTTTGGAAAATGGAGCTTCAAGCTAAGGTTTGAACAAAAAACACCACCCCTAAGCGAAAAGGAAACATATATGTGACATTTGAGTGCTCTGTAGTGCTGCGTAACGCTACATTCTTATAATTCGCAGTAAAACTAGTTGTATGAATTTTTGCACAGTATTCGTGGTCATAATATGTACGTAGAGAGGAAATACACCCTCGTCCCTCGTGAACCTTTTCCTTTGCAGTTAATTGTTATTTGGTGGTCACCGCGCTTTTCTGCTCTGGACGTAACGTTCAATTTTTAATTATTTTTTTTTGGCACGGTGCCGTGAATATTGCCGCAGAAACCCAGTTTAATGTCACGTTTATTCTTCGTGATGTCTGAACTAAACGGAAATAGTGCCACGGGTTTTCAGTACATGTGCCAAGACCGCCTTATACCTTGGAAATGTTGGTTGGACCGGATCGTGTCTCAGAACGATCTTGCAAATAAATAAAAATTGGAATGCAGGTCGCATAATTTGCACCACCACACGTAAATCAGAAGCTTGGAAGCATTAAGACAACGAACATATTATGGAAACTCCTGGGTCATTGCATGTCAGAGAAGTATATATAAAGAACAAGGTTTCACTGGACCGTAAATTTAAAAAAATGAGACCTTGATTATAAAACAATTAAAAAGGGGCGTCCTAAATGTTACGGATCTATTTAGGAAATTTATGACAACTGTCGGAGACGTGGCATAGTGTCCAGGTATTCACCAAAAATAGCCGTGACATTGAACGTGGAAACGGAAGGCAGAAAATGGCACGAGTGGAATCGAAAAAATGTAATAAAAGCAAGACTACTCATATAAGGCTATTTATATTTGTCTGGCATGTAATGACTCCTGGCGCATTTTTCATAGTTTTTATCGTAAGGTATAAAATGAGGTCAGGGCCTATGTTATGTTAAGCACCTAGACCTTAGATCGCATTAGTTTTGGAGGATGATATTGTTCAAAGCCGTATTTACAGATTTTTAAAATATTTTTACCAGCCCGATTACTCCTTACGCTTTGTTGCAATACTGATAACGTACTTGGAAACTGTTTGAAAAAAAAAGCTTTTTTCTTCCGTAAAATGGTTTTTTAAAAGTGGTTTTAGAATCATAGAAAAAAGTTTATTCATAAAAAACAGCAGTAAAGGTAGCAAGTGCTTTTACATTTTTGCGATAGGAGTAAATGCGGACTGGGCTTTTCATTACTTCCGATCTTAGTGATATTATTAAAATACTGACTGCGCGGGGGTATAGACCAATATCGCTAATAATTGTATTAATGAATTTGGAATAACGTAGCTGATGGCCAATTTTTAGCTCTATGGATTTTGATGCTGCTACCCCAACAAAAACGCGCTTTCCAGAACAGATAGTGCTTATGAAACGGATGGGGCAGTGGATTTTGAGCTGCTTGTGAGCAAAAAGCCGTTTCTATTCACACATTTCCGGTGACCAAGCTTTCTATGGGGGCACAAGCACATAGACACGCGTACCTCGTAGTCTCTTTTCCTGACTTCATGTTCCAAATCCCACTTCTGACCCTCACAGAGGAGCATGCGATCGTAATACTGCTGGCAGATCGCTTTGAGTTGCTCTAAAGGCAGAACACACACATTACTGTTTGCTTGGCCGCAATGGGACCAACCAAGACCAGCCCGGGAAGGAAGGGCACAAGTACAGGGCAAAGTTTTCCTACCGCTACACTGTGTATGTGGTTTTACTGTTATCAAAGACATTCCTACACTACGGTAGCTTTCTTTGCGCATGGGAGAGGGTAGTGTAGTGTGCTGCAAACACATGTCAAGTCACAGTGCTACCCGTCTGTTTTCCTACAAGGTGGCAGGCATTGGGAACGTGCGAATATTGTTTACATCATGTTTACAACATCAACAGTAAGGTGGGGAATCTACTTGCAGTTGATACATGCGTCCTGTCTACACATTACACATGCCCAATGCAGGAGCGTGTCCGGTGCTATTCAGAGACTGATGATAAATCGAGACGCGTTTCAAAGCCAAAGGCTGAGTCTATTCTGATTTGTCATCGGTTCCGAAGGAAGCACGTTTAAGTGGCACGTGGGTTGTTTTTCATTCCTGGTCATCCTGGAAACGACAAAACAGGTTCTGGGAGACAACCACTGGTTACCTCAAAGGCTTTCATTTGGAACGCTCTCTCAAGGTCGAATTTGTCGCCCTCTAGTTTGTACACACGCTGCCACAATTCTGCCACTTCTGCTTTGCAATCGTCTGGAAGAAACAAAATCCTAAAATGTTTGGAAGGCTAGCTTGTTCCCATGGCAGATGTCAAACAATGTTGCCGGATGAAAGTTAATCACAAAGCTACTCATATTTCAACGTTTCGAAAAAACAAAAAACAGTTGCTTCTGATTGCGCCTAAATGGTTTCGAGCGCCCTCTCTTTTAGAGCGTGCGCTTTGTGAATTTTGGGTTTTGCTTAACACTTTCTAGGAGGATTCGCAGGTGACCGACGAATTCCGCCGGAAGAAGCAAAGCCAAAAGGGAGACTCACTACGCTTGGGGAAAAGGCACATTTGATGGGGGAATAACGGAAAGAGAGGGTAGAGATAGTTTGCTTCAATCAGAAGAGATGCCCAGTTTTGTTTCTATTATGGGTAAAGGGGATCTTATGTTAGAGCAATCTGTTGCAGAAATAGGATTACCTCCATTTGTTTGATTGAATTCATTCTTTCGAGATCGTACTTGTCACCTTCCAGTTTCACGATTCTCTCGTGGTATTCCGAGCAAATACTTTGCAGCGCGGCTATACAACAAAACATATAATTTAAATTTTTGGCACATTATTTAGACTTATGAACGCGTCAGTGCAGCGTGTCCTGCAAAGCTCATTGGCGTTGAAGGAACAACTATGCTACAACTGGAAATCCTGGAAATTTAACGCTAACCCCTTTTTCTGAAGCTTTGGATGTAAAGAATTGATGGATTAGTAAAATGGAGGATGTGAAAGAAGTATGGTTTTGCAATGATACGTATGGAAAAGGACAAAAAGGGACACGGAAGAAACAGCGTTTTCATATGAAATTGGACAGATCTAAGAAGATACGTGTGCACAGAGCGCACGCGTTGAATAAATTCGAGAACTAATGCAACCACATAAGTCAAAAATTCAACCCAAATCACAAACTTGATTTTGGCGAATGAAGCATTGCAAGGCTTTGAGCGTTGTCTCAATTATTTCAAAATTACCATGGCGAACAATCTACGAGCTTCATCGACTGATACTGCTTAATTAAGTAGAAAATGCATTTAATGCGCAGGGAAGTGTTCAGATGCTACAAGAGTGTGAGAAAGAAATGATGCCTACAATGAAACACGAAGAGTGACAGCAGGACAGATTTGTGACTCAAATCTCCTTGCCAGCTCCTTACTCTACAGGAGCGTTTATGTCTGCAAACTACATTACGATGTCCAATACTGGAACACTTCCTCGGAAGCGAGCATAGCACAGCGCGAGTACTGTAGTGTTGCACGAACCTCCATGTCTTTTTTCTTGATTTCATACTCAATATCCCATTTCTTGCTTTCAAGGTCATTGATTTTCTTGTAGTAATCCTGGCAGATTGACTTAAGCTGGCCTGAAATCGCAGTTACAGTCCTGTTACCTAAATTTCATAATTCCCTGCTTGCAAGGCGATGGCAGCCCAACAGGAACTTGTGATGATCAGAGCAACCGATGATTTAAATGATATCAATGAGAAAGTAGAGATCTTTAAGAACTACATGTTAACACTATTGTTAACACATGTACCCTTGGCAGAAAAGAGCGATAATTCACCTACACCTTATCACCAGGAGCCCATAGACAGGCTTCAGCTGGAAGAGAAGAACAGGACGAGCGGAGAAAGTCGTTAAGCTCTGCCAGAAAGGGAGGCAGAAACATCTGTTTAACTTTTCTATTTAGAATACACATAAGCAAGCCAAGATAGTTTATAAAATTTAACACATGTCTTGTGGACACACCTACATGTGTACAGAAATAAGCATCGGAAATGCCCATGTAGCTGGTTACACAAAAAACCCAAATTAATCACAATGCCTAAAATAGACGTAAGAAACGTCGCTCGAAAAGAAAATAAAAAAATTAAAAAAATAGTAATTTGCGCGTTTCAAGAATTAGACACAAACCACAATAAAAAGTGTTTGAAAACAAGGCGGAAAGAGAAAAGTTTAAAACACGATCAAAGTTAAGAAAGTAAGTGAAAAAGAAAAGACATTTCTGCATTGGAGGTCACCTAACCTCGAAGTCTTTCTTTTTGACAGCATACTCGAAGTCCCATTTGACATCCTCCAGCTTGCATATCCTTGCGTAGTATTCCTGAAGAACGCGCTTAAGCTGTTCTGTAGATCCAGATAAAACAAAAATAATAATCTAGGCTAAAAAAATAAAGCTTTTTTCTATTTTTTTTTAAATGAACAACTTTTTTTGTTTAACAGAACAGCTACCGTGCGATTACGTGTCATGGGTGTTTTTTCTGCTCAATGTCTGATTCTCAATGCCCTTTGTAGAAAGGAATTGGTCCGGTCTCCACAGAATAACTTAAAGTGTTTTTTTTTAAATGTAAAAAAGTGTGTATACAGACCGAACCAATTTCAGAGTGATTTGTAGGCCAGCTGAAAGAAATGTGTTATAGGACAGAGTTAGGACCAGCCGTTCGACCATTGGCATTCGCTGCTTACCTTCATTGGCGTCGTCAATGTTCTTTGGTTTACCGCAGCGCTCTTCAATGATGCGCCTTCTTTCGGCTGCTTTGCGTTCCTGTTCCTTCTTCAGTTCCTCGGCAGCTTTCTTCCTGAGCAGCAACTACAGGCAAAACAGGATTTTTTTTAAAATAAATTACTTGTTAATGTGGTGTCTGGAGGTAAATTTGATAAGCTGTACGCACCCTGAGCTTCTTCTTCCTGTCAGGGGTCATGAAACCCTTCTTGGCCTTCTTGGCTTTGGAGGCCTCCTCCATCCGCTTGCGCACCTCAGCACGCTTGCGGTCGATCTCGGCCTGCTTGGCCTTCTTCGCCTGCAACGGAAAGTGTGTCAGAACCCCACGTCGGCAGCTAAGGTGTGTAAGTTTTGTGCAAGTAAGTGCGGATCCAGGTGGGGAGGGGGCGATGGTTCCATTGCCCCCTCCGCGACTCCCAGAAAGCCGCCTTAAGGGAGGCAAAAAGCTGCACTTTTTCCTTGAAAGTGATCAAAAAGTGCAACTTTGTGGGCCACCCCCTCAGACTGGCTCTGGATCCGGCACTGTGCGCGGTTGAAGAAGTCCAGGTCCCAGTCTTCCAGTACTCGCCTCCTCCAAACGCTTGCGCTGAAACAAATGAGATAAAACAAAAATTAGTTTGTTGCAATTTTATGAAGAGCCATGCTGACACCCTAAAGGAGAACGTCTCTCATTTAGAATGGAAATTCTAGTGTGTCGCATAACTCTTCCCGTGCCGTTTGCACTAACTACAACGCTTCCAACTTCTACTTAAAGCACCAAAGCGCGTGTGCTGCACTGCACACAGCAGACGACGTTAATGAATGCTGCCAAGAAACAACACCCCCTAAAAGTGAAAAATAGGAATTTTGAGTTTTTTTTTTTGAAAACTCGCTAACAATGATATTTTTTTTCAAATGAATGACGTGGTTAAGACATGAATGCTATATCGTGAAAACCACTTATTAACATAGTCACAGTCACCATACATTCCAAAATGGACGGACAAGGACGATCACAAAACAAAAATTGGACATCACAAAATAAGCTTTCAATTGCACATCGTTTGTTGCCATTGTGTAGTTGATTAAAATCGGGTCTTTCCATTAAAATATAAAATCTTTTAAATTCCATGCTTAATATCTGTACCATTCCATGCCCTCGACAATGGTCATCTCTTTTCGATTTTCTCTACTTTTTTGACCCAATTTTAGTCAGTGAGGATTTGAATAAGCTGTGTGTGTGTTAGTAGTAGTGATGAGCGTCTACGGCCACACTACGAATAGACTTTTTGGTATTCGATGTTTGTGTTGCGGACAGTGCACCCCGGACCACTCTCCGTGCTACTGGTGCAGCTGCAGGGAAAAAAACATGCGGTCACTTTCGAAAAAATAAAAATCAGCATCAGCTTATCCTAGGTTTGTAGGAAGACTGTTGCTTCTTTGTCATTCCAAAATGGCGCCGGAGTTGAATCAAATGACACCAGTAGGAGCATGCTTGGCCGCCACAAATCATACCAAAAACTTTGAAAATTGCGATCACGTGCAGTCAGTGATCTTTCGCTGAGTCATATCTCAGTGTGTCACTGTTCTCGAAAGCTTGATTTCATACCCAGTGCAGAGCCCGAAAAGGCTGTCGTGTCTGTGTGCGATACTCACCTTACCTCATCGTCCGCCATTTTGTGTTACTGTTGTTGGCCTCCGACCTGCAGGCAAAAGAGGCAAATTAAACCAAGGACGCACGTGTTTATGTTTACAGGTGTGTGGCCGGCGGCAGGATCGCATGGCCCTGGATGAGGATGCTGCCACCTTAAATGCACCAATCCCAGAAAGGTAAGCCACACGACCGTCGTTTTGCACGCCATAGCCTGGTATGAATTATCATCCACTTATTTGGCAACACTGGCTGACGTCATCAGTCATCCGTTGTCGTTGACCGTACTGGCACCCCTGTCATGTGTCGAGACACATTTTGACAAGTGCTGCCAACGTGACAAGTGCCGTTGGCCCTGGGCTCGCGCTGCCCGGGGCTTGCCCTGGGGTTGCCCCGGGCCGCTCGGCCAGGGCTGGGCGGGCTCCAAATTTGGACGGCGCGGTGGGTACCCCCTCCACTCGGCGTGACGTGGCGCCACAGTGCCGTGCCAAAGCGACTGTTTAAAAAACGGCCACGCACTTTTTCAATTCACTGACCGGACGCTACGGCGCTACAACAGGCCCAGTTTCGCGTCAGACCAATGACAAACCACCCTTTTAGAAAGCAATGACCATGAACATTTCGGACTCTTTGATCCGTGTCATTTGCAGCGACAAAAAAGTATTTTTGTTTTAAAAGAATGTCTGATTTCTCTACACAGGGTGACTTTTCCAAACAGGACAGGAAGGACAAAATGAATAAATAAATGACAAAATGATCCCGGCTGAAAATGCTCTGGTCTGCCCCACCCCTCGCCGTCCTCTCCGACTGCGCATTCGCTGTCCAACTATTTTAGAACGGCGTTTAGGATGTTTATGCCGCAGAGCACTGCCGTTCGCACGCACCAAATGTTCGATACAATCCTTTTCGAGACGTCGCAGCTTTTTGTGCTTATGAACTTTTGGTACGAAAAATTGCTCACATTTCTCTATTTTTGTGCCAAATCTTGCACAAATGTGTTCGAAAAGCACGGTAAAAACGGTACCTGGTTTTCCCAGGAAGCCTATGGTAAAGACGTAGGCGATTTCCAGGGGTTCCTGGGAAAACCAGGAACCGTTCTTACCGAGAGTTTATTAGCTCATCAAATCGTAACGTCTCGCACGAAGTTTGTACAAAAACATTTTGTGTGTGTAGGGCTTCAAGCCCTGGGCGCTCGGAATTCCCTCAAACAGTTCCAGGGGACTTGGGTCTCGCCTCAGCGAGTCCAGGATCTCGTTGCGACGACTTGTGAGACACTGTCTTGCACCTTTCCACTGGGCACTCCCTGCGCACCCCGGTCCACTGACAGAGCTTTCACTTTGCACGTCCACACCACGTCGTCACTCCGGTCACTTTGCTCTTGCGGTCGACGTCTTGAGTCACTCACTGGTTCACTCTTGGAGTCACTTTCACTTGCACTGCACTGTAATCCAATGGGCTCCGCTCCTCACCTGGTATGTTTTTTCGAGGGCCGTGCGCTACCTCCACGGGGTGTTGTGGACTGCGGCCCGGACTGGGGTCGCGGCTCGCAGGGGCTCCGCGGGACGGGCGGTACCCGGGGAGGGGAGGGGGAGGGGAGGGGGCCGCGCCCCGCCGAGACATGTGAACCGGCCCGCGGTTGGCTGCGGTCGTCACGTGACCCAAGCCGCGGTCGGGGTTGGCGGGCCCGATTTAGCCGCACGCCTCAGCCAAGACGCTGCACAGTGGGCCAGAAGACCGGTGGAGGCGGCCGAAATTCTAGACGCGTTTTGAGCTCCAGAGTCGCTACATGGGACTCGAACCGAACGTGTGACCCCACCAATGGATTCCTCGTTCGGAGGGGAATCCATTGGGGGGGTCACACGTTCGGTTCGAGTCCCATTTAGCGACTCTGGAGCTCAAAACGCGTCTAGAATTTTGGCCACCTCATCGGTCTTCTGGCCCACTGTGCGCTGGCGTTCTGTCTCTCTCGCACCCGCGGCGCGGCCCGGCGGGGAGAGAGAGAGGCAGAGCGACTCTGATCGGCACGAGACTGCGAGCCAGCCGCCGGGCGAGGCGGGCAGATTTCAAAGTCGGCTCTCGTTGCGCTGTCTCTCTCGCACCCGTGCCGCCCCGTTGGGGCCCCGTTGGGGTGCGAGAGAGACAGCGCGACCGAACGCTGTGCGGAATCAGTCCACAGGCCCATGGACCTGCCGCGCTGCCGCGCTGCCCTCTGCACTGGCGGGACTAATTTTATCCCGGCGTATCGCAAGACAGTGGCGGGGGGAGGGCGGGGTACGTTGCCTTGGCAGTGGTGCCAGTGAGACGCTGCCCCCTCCCCCGCCAAACTTCCTCCCCCACCCCCACCCCCCCCACCCCCTCCCCCAGCCCCTGACCGCGGCTCGCCGGTATGGCAACAAACGTCATTTCGGTAGCCCTTCCCTGAAGAAAGTACCTGTATTTTTGGAAACGGATGTCGCTTAGAGCAACAATTACTTTGGTTCCCTCGGCTCTGCGAGTGCCCGTCGCGCAGACGCGAGCCCAAGTGCCCCTCCCACAGTGGGCCAGAAGAGCAGTGGAGGCGGCCAAAACTCTGAACGCATTTTGAGCTCCAGAGTCGCCAAACAGGACTCGATCCAAGCTTCTGATCTCACCAATGGATTCCTCTTAAGAAAAGCAATCCATTGGTGGGGTCACACGTTCGGTTCGAGCCCCATTTAGCGAATCTGGATCTCGAAACGCGTGTTTGGCCGTGTGCGCCGGTCTTCTGGCCAACCGTGCGTCCACTGGTAAACCGCCCCGTGGCCACTGAGTCAGGAAACCCCGTAGATAGACCGCGACCGCCTACGACACAAGCACGAGGCGTTCGCCAGCGACGGGCGGAGGACCGTCCCTTCATTCATGCCAAGAAACAGTTTTCGGACCGGCGCTCTGCGATTTAGCGGAGATTTACTGCAAAGGAGCTGGAAAACTTGCTGGCTTTTCACAGCGTCGCTCGCCCAATGCACCCAATGCACTTGCACGAGACGAACGGCCGTGCGTGAACGCCAGCACCTGCTCAGACTTGGCGGTCGTTCTAATTGCGCACAAGTCATTCCCGAGATCGGAGCACTCTATCACCGCGCTCTTGTGTAGCACCGAGAGAGAGAGAGAGAGGGAGAGAGAGAGAGAGGGGAGAGAGAGAGAGAGAGAGAGGAGAGGAGAGAGAGAGAGAGGGGAGAGAAGGAGAGAGAGAGAGAAAAGAGGGGAAAAGAGGAGAAGGAGGAGGGAAAAGAGGAGAGAGAGAGAGAGAGTGAGAGAGGGAGGGAGGGAGAAGGCGGCTTGTTACCGCCTGTGAGGTGGGCAGGCCCGTCGAGCACGGCGCCCACCCGGATTGCCTACTCTGCAGGCGCTCCGCTCCGCGAGCTCGTTTTCACTGCTCTGCACAGTGGACCAGAAGACCGGTGGAGGCGGCCACAATTGTAGACGCGTTTTGAGCTCCAGAGTCGCTAAATAGGACTCGAGTCGAACTTGCGACCCCATCAATGGATTGCTCCCGGAACAAGGAATCCATTGGTGGGGTCACACGTGTGGTTCGAGTCTCATTTAGCGACTCTGGAGCTCAAAACGCGTCCAGAATTTTGGCCGCCTCCACCGGTCTTCTGGCAAATCTAATGTGCACTGGTTTCCGACGCGGTTCGCTCTTTGCACACATCATTGCGCACCACATTGGTTCGCTGTGTAACCAAGTGTGGAGAACTTGTCACTTCCTGTTGCGAAGTGATTCTCCACACAGACGTGAGGAGTTTGCAGTCTTCACACTGCAAGTGTGGTGTAGCTCACTCACAGCGACCTTATCTCTGGGGTGGTGCAAGGGAAACTCCACACTTGGAGTGTGCTGATTGCAAACTGTGCACTTCCAAGTGCGGTGGACCGAAATTCCACACCTCCCCATATCGTGTGGAGTTCTCACGGTGTTTTGCCTGCACTCTAATTTTCACGTGCAAAATCTCAATTGGTGAAAGTAATTTTGGTGTGCAGCGATTCGTAACCAACCATTGGAGATTCCCGGGACTTGAGTTTGACAAATCGTGGTATTATGGAATCACCCACTCATTTGTTAGGCGCCTTTCACCAAACAACTGGTGTGAGATTTGCCTGGATTAGTGCAACGGAATAGCCGGAGGAGGCGGCCAAGCACTGCGGCCAGGCACTTGTTGTCCAGACACGCCCGAACGGACTCACCCAAAGCCATGGTTTACCCACGAATGGTTCTTTGAAGCCAATATGGCAAGCTTGGCCCGGAGACTCCCAGCTGCCAAAAGGCTAGCTTATGAAAACCGCCAAAGCTTGCATTGCATTCCGGGTTGCCAATTTGTGGCAAGCAACCCACGGCTTTGCCAGTGCTGTCCAGAATTGTGTCGCCTCCCCCAGGGGCCAGAAGCCGGGGAGGCGGCACCGACGCGTTTTGAGCCCAGAGTCGCGAAACAGCCCGAACCGAAATGTGACCCCCCAATGGGTTTGACCCCACCAAGTTGCCCGAAAGAGGAATCCAGAGGGGCACCCCCGCGCGAGGGGGGGGCCAGGGGACTCTGGGGCCAAACGCGAGCGGCGCCTCCAACCGACTTTTGGACTGTTTGTCCCCGCTTTTGGCCCGGGTTGTACACCGCCCCTCCCCCTTCTTTTTTTCGGAATAAAGGGGCTTAGAATGAGCGCCCAACCCCCCGTTGGGATGGGGCCAAGGCGCTTTGACAAAGGGGGGAGGCGAAGTGGCCTTTTCTGGGGTGGGGCCCCGCCAAAGGGGAACGCCGCGCCAAAAAAGCCCGAGACCCGGCCCCGAAACGCCAAGCGTGCCCCCCCCCCCCCCCAACGGGGACGCCCCGGGGGACCCCCGCCCCGGGGGGAGGACGCGGAGGGGGCCACCCCAGGGAGACCCCACGCCGCGACGCCCGCCAGAGGCACTGGGCCTTGGACCCCTTTAGACAACGGGGGCGACCCAACGCCCGCCCTCCGCTGCGCCACGCCACGCCACGCCGCGCCACGCCACGCCCACGCCACGCCGCGCCACGCCACGCCACGGCCACGCCACGCCACGCCCGCCACGCCACGCCACGCCACGCCCACGCGGGGGCGGCAGGCGCGCGGCTCGACGACCAGTAACGCGAGACAGGCGCACATCTTGTTCGAATTTCCGAATCAATCGGAGCCAGTTTTGTCGCCCGACTTTTGGCCCAGAGCTCCATTTGCGAGACTAGCGGGTAACACACGCCGACAAAAAAAAAAAAAAAAACACACCCAAAAACATTTTTAAACTTTTTTTCGAATAAATTTTTGCTTATGATATTTATTGCTGCGTTAATTTCAAAACCCTGTTGCGTGATAGGGTGCCCAAGGCGCTCTGTACGACGGCACCCGTCGTCGAAGTGTGTATCCCATTTACCGTGAGTTGAAGTGGGAGCACGCTTGCAAAGAGCAGAGCTGCTGACTTGACTTCATTAACAAGCGCGCGGTGAGTACACCGGTCACAGAAATAGTTCGCCTGTAAGTCGTGCCCCCCCCCCCCATGTCGTTATTGAAAGTGGTGACGCCGCTCTTGGCGGTACCCCTCGCCGCGGAGGCACTTGGAAATACCCCGTGCGACGTAGCGCGGAGTGTCTTTGGTCGCCGCGGCGGCGCACAATGGGCCAGAAGACCGGTGGAGGCGGCCTAAACTCTAGACGCGTTTTGAGCTCCAGAGTCGCTGAGCAGGACTCGAACCGAACGTGTGACCCCACCAATGGATTGCTCTCCGGACGAGGAATCCATTGGTGGGGTCACACGTTCGGTTCGAGTCCTGCTTAGCGACTCTGGAGCTCAAAACGCGTCTAGAGTTTTGGCCGCCTCCACCGGTCTTCTGGCACACTGTGCGCCGCCGTGCCGGTTCGGGCGGCATCGCCGGCAGAACAGCTGCGACTAGGAATGCTGAATCGACTACATCCAACTTGTGTCCGACAGCCATTATTTGAATCAGTCGCACGCAGATTTAGTCGGGAAAATAAATTTCTGAACTGAAACCGCGAACGAACGTTGTTTCTATTTTTGCCGTGGCGGTGTGGAACAGCTGCTGTGATGCGTTTCCTTCAAAGATCCTGCAGTGAGTCTGCAATTAGCTCGCCATTGTCTCGAGGTGCATCCCTCGCCGTTAATCGCTAGAAAGCCGGAACGACGGAGCGCGAGGCGGAGCGCTGCGCGACCTCGCGGAGGCGTGTTTCAAGTTGCAGCGATGAATGGGCGCAAGTGCACTTCTGTTGAAAAGTAACTACATTCCGAAGGAAATTCGGAAGTTTATACGTGGGAAGCTGCCATGCTGGCCCGATTCCAGAGTAAAATTTCTTGGTCCGAAGAAAATGATTGGCCTGACTAAAGGGCTGGTGAACATTGCAGCTGTCAAATGCCGTTTTTTTTTTCAATCCATGCGACCAGGTGAAATGACTGAAACTGCGTCTGTTCCTTTTCATCGTTTTGTTGATTTTTCGCCGTCGCTGTTGGCACTCGTGTCTCGTGCCTGCTCAAACACAATGGCTGAGCCGTTAACTTGGCAGCGCAGTCGTTAGCCAAACAATGCCTGGAAAAACAAAAGTGGCGATTCATATTTCCCCCGCGGGCCGGGCGGGTTGAGCGCCGCGCCGCGAGAGGGCGCCAGGCGGCCAGCAGACGACGGAGTGGGGGGCGGCGTGGCTGCGAGCGGCGGGCAATCTCAGTGTGGTAGGAGCCGGCTCGGGCCAAGCACGTGCCGAGTGCGACTGTGACACGCCGGCCGGCAGCGTGGGGAATGACAGCGAGTTTCCTATTCGACTAGCGACGTTTGACCGTGCAGCGAGTGCCCTGTTTGACTGTCTTCAACGACAGCCCCGTTTGACTGTGCATAGCGAGTGTCCGGCTGTCTTCAACGACAGCACCGTTTGACTGGACAGCGTGTGCCCCATTCGACTGTCTTCAACGACAGCCCCGTTTGACCGTGCAGCGAGTATCGGCTGTCGTCAACGACAGTACCGTTTGACTGGACAGCGTGTGCCCCATTCGACTGTCTTCATCGAAGTCCCTGTTTGACCGTGCAGCGAGTGCCCCATTCGACTATCCTCCGCGACAGCGGGACAGCTGAGCTGTCGTTCGCGTCGTCTGCTGTGTTGTGTAAACAAGTCGTCTTGGATGTGCCCTGGGAGAGATGAGATGACATCTGGTCCACCGTCTTGCAAGATAAGGCGGGCAGAACCACATAAACGGTACGTGCCACAGGGGAAGGCTACTGTCAAATTTAGTGACTCTAAAACACCATCACGCGTTCGATGATATGGAGCAAGCGGTACCCGTTTAAATTGGCATTGGTGCCGTCACTCGTTCGGTTCGAGTCCCGTTTAGCGACTCTGGAGTTCAAAACACGTCCAGTATTTTGACCGCCTCCAACACGCGTGCCAACACACGGGGCGGCCGGTGCACAACCGTCCTCCAGAATCCGCCTCGCACTGCAAGCGTCGCCGCAACCGCAATGACAGAGACTTGCTGTCAATTTTGTCGCAGTGCTCTTGCACTGGCTGTGTACCATCTGATCGGTCTTCCGCAGTGTACTATTTATCAGCGGCGCTACAGACAGGTGCTGTACAGAAAGCACCGACACTTTAGCGGATTGGTGGGAGTAACGGCGGCGGCCCCCACTGGGATTCGAACCCGCGCCTGTTCTTTCCGGAAGCCGATTTGTACGCCTGAACGACACTTTTCGAGATGTCTATGGCGGAGCGGAAAAAAGAACGGGGAAAATATGGTGCGTTGCGGCGGACGAGTCCTTGGGCGGGCCTTGTGGACCGTTTTTGACGGACTTGACCCGCCTTCCTCTGTGTGCGTGTGTCTGTGTGTGTGTGCGTGTGTGTGACTGAAATGCGATTGTGTGCGTTTGGCGGGCGACATCGCCTTCGGAATGCCGCTCTTAATTAAGAGCAAATTGAAGAGGGTGCTCTCCTTTTCAACCCTCTGACCGGACCGACCGCGCTGCGTCTTGCGCTCCGCCGCGCTCTGACCGCGCCGCACCATTAGGGAAAGGAACGCGCCCACCATACATATGGATCACCACGCCTGTCGCCGTGATTGACGAAGCGCACACTGTGTGTGTGTGTTGTGTGTGTGTGTGTGTGTCCGAAGTGCTCGCCTTTCGTTCCTGTTCTTTTTTTGCTTTGCTCCATTTTGCCGTCTCACCTTTTAAGACCCTCAAATTCGACGGGCTCCGTTGAATCGGGTTTTAAAAATTTCATCCGGTGGTCGTTTTAGAGAGAGAGAGAGAGAGAGAGAGAGAGAGAGAGGAGAAGAGAGAGGGAAAAGAGAGAGAGAGAGAGGAGAAAAGGTCCTCACGCTCCTCACTCTCAGGGGCAAAAAAAAACAGCCCCAAGGTTTCCCTCCTTTCCCCCTTCCCCTCCTTTCCTTTTCTTTTTCCAGCCCGGGGGGGGGTTCCCGGGGTCGAAAAAAAAACCCAATTCCACCTTGCCCTTTCCCCCCCCTGGGGTTTTCCCTTTCCTTTCTCTCCCCTCCTCCTCCCCCCCCCCCCCTCTCTCCTCCCCCCCTCTCCTCTCCCTCTCTCTCTCTCTCTCTCTGCAAATATGCATCAGCGAGAGGCCTCCTCGCGAACCTCGCCGTCAAGTTTTCCAAAGGGCGCGCGTGCATCTGTTTCCCTCCTTTCTCTGAAACTTTCTCGTTTTTTCTTTGTTTTTCCGCCGAAAGACATGCCGGTCGTCAAGGCGAGCCTGCACTGTGTCTATAAGGGAAGGACACTATAAATTCCTCAGCGACTCTGCGGCTCCGGAGAGGGGCAGACAAGACGGAGCCAATTTCGTTGTCAGAGACGTAGACAATGTCGCGGACGGACAAGTGACACGTGTGTCACGTGCGACGTGGCGACACAGTGGGCCAGAAGACTGATGGAGGCGTCCAAAACTCTAGACGCGTTTTGAGCTCCAGAGTCGCTAAATGGGACTCGAACCGAACCCGTGTGTGACCCCACCAATGAATTGCTCTCAGAGCGAGGAACCCTTGGTTTTGGGGCCCCCACCGGCCTGTTCAAAGTCCCAATTTAAAAGGCGACTCTGGAGCTCAACGCTTCTAGAGTTTAGGCCGCCTCCACCGGTCTTCTGGCCCACTGTGCAATGTCGCGGACGGACTAGTGACAGTGTGACACGTGCGCCGCGACGACACGTGGACGCGGGAAATTTGAATCGCCGCCTTTGATTTGCCTACGAATAGCGCGCCTCCCTCCTCCCCCGCGGGGCGACTCGCAAGGTCGACACTCACTGTATCCAGGCCGCAGGGCACGGCGGCACAGTGGGCCAGAAGACCGGTGGAGGCGGCCAAAATTCAAGACGCGTTTTGAGCTTCAGGGTCGGTAAACAGGGCTCGAACGGAACGTGTGACCCCACCAATGGATTGCTCTCCGAACGGGAATCCATTGGTGGGTCACACGTTCGGTTCGAGTCTTGTTTTAGCGACTCTGGAGCTCGAAACGCGTCTAGAATTTTGGCCGCCTTCACCGGTCTTCTGGCCCACTGTGCGCAGGGCCGCCAGCAGAGACTGAGAGTCGTCCTCGTCGCTCTGTCTCCCTCGCACTCATGGGGCGTTCCCTATGGGTGCGAGAGAGACAGAGCGACGAGAACGACTCCCCGGAATCGGTCTGCAGGCCGCAGGGATACCGACGTCGGATTCGTCGCCGGTGATATATGTATGTATGAAGGAGTCTGCTTGATGCATGGCGACGGCTGTAGTGCGGGGACGCCCTGTCCTTATCACGCCGCCACACATACCATTTTTCTGTATCCCTCCTTTATTCTGTAGGGGCTCGTGTGAAAAAGTGTGTTTATTTTCATTTTTAAAGATCGTGATTTAAAACCTCGCTAAAGTGTTTTGAGTATTTGTCATTTGCATTAAAGCCATAATTAATCAGTAAACTACGAAGTATTTTCTTTGTAAACTTATGTAACTGAAAATACTCAAAGAATACTTTTGATTGTATGTAGGGTCTAAAATTATTGATAAGGTTATCAGAGGCCCGTTTAGCATTTATCCTGGGGATTCTGGGGGCCGCAATGGACTCAGAAATAATGTGTTGTTTTTTTTTTCTTTCAGTAAATCATTTACGAGCAGATTTCAGCCATCCTAAAAGTGGCTTCAATTTGGATGACTCGATGCGCGAGCCCGTTCGTACAGTGCGAGGTAGGTCATTACCGATTCCGTTTTAGAAAGCAGGGTGATCGAAACGCGCAGGTCCCCGGTTCGAATCCCGGGCCCTTTTTTTTCCTGCCCCTGCCCCTCCCCTTTCCCCAACCCCCACTACGACCGACCCGAACAAGTGGCAGAATTTGCGACGTGGAGTCAGGAAGCCGCACATTCTAACGCGAATCAGGCGGTCCTTTCCGTATGGAAATGCACGCGCCGTCGCTCTCGCACTGTGGCGGCCTTGCGGGACGCACAGTGGGCCAGAAGACCGGTGGAGGCGGTCAAAACTCTGGACGCGTTTTGAGCTCCAGCGTCGCTAAGCTGGACTCGAACCGAACGTGTGACCCCACCAATGGATTCCTCGTTCGGAGAGCAATCCATTGGTGGGGTCACAAGTACGATTGGAGTATCATTTAACGACTCTGGAGCTCAAAACGCGTCCAGAGTTTTGGCCGCCTCCACCGGTCTGCTGGCCCACTGTGGGACGCCCCGCGAGTGCGAGAGAGACAGCGCGACGCGCGGAATCACAGTACAGTCGAGATCCAGGCTGAAGCGAGGGGCTGGGGTTGTATTTCTTTGGCTGAATATGAAAAGCGCACCGTGCTTATTGCCAGAGACAGGTCTCAAGAGAGAGAGAGAGAGAGAGAGAGAGAGAGAGAGAGAGAGGAGAGAGAGAGAGAGAGGATGAATACGTCGTGAAGACGCCGCCCGCATGGCCCGGCACGTCCGGATGTGTGGCTGTGCCCGCGGAAGATCTTATCCCTGCTTGATAATGGCGGACGGACCGACAGGCAGACAGACAGACAGACAGACGGACAGACGGGCAGAAAACAATCATGCAATCAGAATCAGACAGATAGGCGTCACGCCTGAGTGGTGGACTAGTAACCCCTATAGTGGATCGCGTGGGAGCCACAAGGTCATGGCGCCATCACACTCACACACTCTCTTTCTCTTTCACACACACACACACACACACACACACACACAGAGGGGCGTGAAAACTCAGTGTGGTCGCGCAGAGATTACGGATGACGCCCGTGTGACGGCTGGCCGAACACAGCGCAGCGGCGCAGCCCTGTGGACCGGGAAAAAGAGACCGCTACACGTGTCTCGTTGTTTTTGTTTGTTGTCATTGCTCTTGCACTTGGAACGACAATGCTATATAGTTTTGCCGCTCTTTTTTGGCAGTGCACCGCTGTGGGACAGAAGACCGGCACCGGCGGCGAAAATTCTAGACGCGGTTTGAGCTGCAGAGTCGCCAAATGGGACTCGAACCGAACGTGTGACCCCACCAATGGATTCCTCGTTCGGAGAGCAATCCATTGGTGGGGTCACACGTTCGTTTCGAGTCCTATTTAGCGACTCTGGAGCTCAAAAACGCATCTGGAATTTTCGCCGCCACCACCGGCCTTCTGGCCCACTGTGAGGCGCGGACTGATTGAGACGTCTCGCAGGGCATGAGCGGAATGATAGTCCTCGTTAGGCAAGGCAGGCAGTGCCCCGGAGGCTACAACAACAACAACAATATGCTCGCCGTTTCTGGAAAGAATCTCGTCAGGGAAGAGTAGGAAAGGGTCCTGAAGTGGCTCCATGCTTGCGGGCTAGGTGCCTCGTTGAGTTCAAAAAGACGAGTTTGAACAGAGTATCGTGTAAAATGTAGAAAACGAAGCCTTGAATATCATCGGTAAATGCAGCAAAAAAAAAAAAAAAAAAAAAGGGGGAAAAGGGGGGCCCGGGGGCCCCCCCCGGGCCCGGGGGGGGGGGGGCCCCCAAAAAAAAAGGGGGGGCCCCCCCCCCCCCCCGGGGGAAAAAGGGGGGGGGGAAAAAAAATTAAAAATTTTTTCCCAAAGGGGGGGTTTTTTTCCCCGGGGGCCCCAAAGGGAACCCCCCCCCCCCTTTTTTTTTCCCCCAAACACCCCCCCGGGGGGGGGGAAAACCCCCCCCTTTCGGGGCCCCCCCCCGGGGGGGCCCCAGGGGGTTTTGGCCGGGAAAAACCCCTTTCCGGGTTTTTTTTTTTTTTGGGGGGGAA